GCCTCAGGTGGGTGGTAGGCAGAGGGCAAAATAAATGAAGGGGTCAAAAGACACAAACTTCCAGTTATAAAATGAATACATCATGAGCATGTCATATACTTAATAAAAAGATGTTGCATATGTGAAAGTAGCTAAGGCAGTGGATCTTGAAAAGTTCTCATCACAAGAAAAAATTTGTGAGTGTGTGTAGTAATGGAGGTACACTGGGTTTACTGTGGTGATCATTCTGCAATGTATACAATTATTGAGTCATTACATTATACTCCTGAAACTATTACTAATTATTAATTATGTTATTACACCTTAGTTAAAAAAAGAAGCTCATGGCTACTCTCCACTCATATACCAGTGGGTTCTAGAGCTGGGAAGCCAGAGGTCAGGTGGGTGTGCCAGGGCAGTTCATCCGGACCATCCTCCAGGGAACAAGAGCAGGTAACGCAAGGATAGGGTACAGAAGGAGTTCAGGCTGAAGGGCAGGTCTGGGAGCAGGTGGCATGTATCCTGGTAGTCCCCTTGGTGCATATACCATGTGGTGCACACCTCCCCCATGTGCACAGATATCCCATGTACACACACCCCCATGGTACACACACTCCATGGTACACACATCCCATGGTACATACACACCCCCATGGCACACACATCCCCCATGTCCACACACACTCCATGTGGACACACCCTCACAGTGCATACATACCCAATGGTGCACACCACCCATGTGCACACCCTCCCATGGTGCACACACCCTCATGGTGCACACATACCCCATGGGCACACACCCTCTATGGTACATATCCTCCATGGTGCACACACCCCATGGTACACACACACCGCATGTACCCACAAACCCCATAGTACAACCAATGTGCACACCTCCCTGTGGTGTACATACCCCACGGTGCACTAACTCCCCCACGATACACATGCCTCCCATGGTGCACACCCAAAGAGCAGGGCTGATTTGCTGTGAGAATGAAGACTGTTTTCCAGCAGAGTATGAGAGAGGATCATGGGCTGGTAGGAGGGACTGGGTGTCTCTCTTATCCTATGGCAGATCTGTGTTTTTCCAAAGCAGAGCCCCTGGAGAGGCTGGGGCAGGGCGTTGGGAGTCCTGAGTGGTCACTTCGTGAGCTGGGATTCCATGTCCCTGCAGGTAGAATGTGCTGCGTATGTGTGTATGTAGGTATATTTGCCTGTCTGAGTTATATATGTATGTGTAGTACACATATATAAGTGCACATGTACGTGTGTATCCATATTAAATGGGTATGTGTATGTTTGTGTGCAAGTATATTTGCATATGTGCCTGTGCATATCTGTGTGCATATTTATGTATACATACATATATGCATGTGTATACATCTCTGTGTAGGTGTATATGTATATGCCCCAATGTGCATGTATGTAAATGTGTCTGTGCATGCATGTAAGCACACACACATGTGCATCTGTGTGCATGCATGCAAGGAAATGTGTGTACATGCATTTGTGTACATGCATGTAAGGGAATATATGTATATACATGTATATGTGTACACACATGTAAGGGAATGTGTGCGTGCATGCATGTAAGGGCATATGTGTGTATGCCTGTAAGTGTATGTGTATATGTGTTTGTATGTGCACATGTAAGAGAATGTGTGTGTGAGTATGTCTGTGTATGTGTATATGTTTGTGTGCACACATGTAAAGGAAAGTATGCTCATGTGTGCATGTGTACATATGTAACCAGGTGCTCCTGGGAGGAATGAGGAACTTGGTGACCTCTCTTCCAGAGTTGGAGTGGACATGCATGGGAGCAGAGCCTACTAGAATATCCCGGCTGGGTGACATCAGCTGTGTGGCCTACACATGTCAGCCAGACAGAGGCGGGGGCTTAAAGGAAGTGAACCCTGGTTAAAAGGCCTGTGTGAGCTGGTGGGGGAGGGTGGCGCCAGCTCCCTCTGAGTCACACATGGGTCTGTTTCTAATTATGGTCCTGCCAGCACAGAGCCTGCCATGTGTGGGGGCTGGTGTCTGGGAGCAGCTCCTCATAGCCTGCCAGACCCTCAGACTCACAGGGACCGGTTCTCCCATCCACCATGCGGCGGCGAGAGGGCCGGGCTCTGGGAGGCTGGTGACCTGACAGGGTCCCATTCTGCAGTGGCTGCGTTAGTGCTCCTGACCCACATCCGGGACTCCTGGCTGGGTCCTTGGTTTGGCTGATGAGTTGGCAGTATGGTGGGCCAGGTCCCTCCTAAAAGCATGGGGCTGCGGCTCCAGGGGCTGCCTCCCCAGCTGGTCCCGCCCAGCTGTGTCCTGGTCCTCTGGGTGCCTGCGTGCTTTGCAGCTATGTGCAGTGGGGCCAGGAACATGCATTTCATTTCCTTACAGCTCAGCTTAGCTCACCGTCCACCTGGCCTCTGCGTCCCTGGGCGCCTGGCTGTTACATCTCTGTCACTGAAAATCTTCTGACCCTCTCCAGGGAACCCCAGGAGGCCCCTGGGGGCAGAGGCATGGGCAGCGGGCAGACAGCAGGGCCTACGCTGATAGGAGACAGGGAGGCGCCCTGCCCAGCCCCCAGGCCCCAGGGGTCACCTCTTTTCCGCTGGTGGGGCCCCTTGGGACCACAGATGCCTCTTCTGCTCTGACCCTGTGCTGGGTGGGGACCCAGGAGGATGCAACTCAGGTGGCCTTGCTGCTGGGCCCGAACACCTGCCCAGCCAGGGGGACGGGGTGGTTTTCGTCAACTCTCCTGCCAAAGTTACCTTTGCCAGGCTTGATCTGGGAGCAGGATCTTTCCAGAATCTTCTGCCTTACCTGAGGTCCTTCTAGCCTGCTCAGGGACTAAGATTTTGAAATATGAAAGAGGCCTGTTTTCCCTCCTTCTCTGTTAGTTGGAGTTAGAAGGGCTGGAGGTGCATCCGATGGGGAGCCAGCAGAACAGAGAAATCACCTGAGACTGTCAACCATGAACCCCTGTGGGCCAGGTGGGGTGGTTTGTGGTGGCCGACAGGGCTGAACCATGGAAAGGAAGCTACAGGATGCACAACCTGGTCCCAGAGAGTCTGAAAGGATGCCGAGGTCTTGGCCATCCCTGGCTCTGCATCTCCAGCTGTGGGACCCAGCAAGAGACTCAGTCAGTGTTCTCCAGAGAAACTATATATAGCCTTACATCTATAGCGTATACACAGATCTATAGCTGTCAAGGATATATGTGTATCCTGTAGATACTTGTATAAGGACCTATTTATATACAGGTACACATGAGAAGGGACTTCCCAGGTGGCTCTGGTGGTATAAAGAATCTGTCTGCCAATGTAGGAGACTAAGAGACATAGGTCTGATCCTTGGGTTGGGAGGCTCCCCTGGAGGAGGACATGGCAACCCATTCCAATATTATTGCCTGGAGAATCCCATGGACAGAGGAGCCTGGTGGGCTACAGTCAATATAGAGTCACAAAGAGCCAGACACAACAGAAGCAACTTAGCACGCACACATGTATAAGAAGGGATTTATTATAGGAGTTGGCTCAAGTGATTATGGAGGCTGAGAAGCCCCACAGCTGCCCTCTGCAAGCTAAAGGCCTAGTACAGCTGGTGGTGTACTCAGTGCAAGCCCAAGGCCTGAGGACTGGGAGACTGATGCTGTAAGTCCTGGTCCAAAAGCCCCAGAACCAGGAGGTTCTAGGGTGGGGGAGGGTGGCTCTGAGGGTGGGGGAGGGTGGATGTCTATTCAACCAGAGAGGGTGAATTACACCTTGAGCATGGACCTGTTGCCACACTTTATTTGCTGTGAATCGAGTTCCTTGATCAGAAGCGATGCTGTGTGGAGTGTGTGATAGAAAGGCATTATGCAAGTCCACGATGGTTGTTTTGGCAGAAGTGTTATAGCAAATCTGAATCCATGGTGTCTATTGCTGTAAGGACAAAATGCTGCCCCTTCTGTGATCAAGTGGCCCAATGTAATCAACCTGCTCCCAGGTGGCTGCCTGCTCCCCCCAGAAGTGGTGCCACGTTGGGTCTCTGTGTTGGTTTCCACTGCTGGCAGGCTGGACGCTGAGCAGTAACAGTGGTCAGGTCAGCCTGGATGAGGGGGGGCGGAGTGCATCCCCCCATTCCTGTCACCACATTGCCTTGCTCAAGAGCCCATTGGGCGATGACAGTGCTGGCTGGGAAAGAGGCCGCATAGTACCCACAGGATGAGTAACCTTCCCATTTAATTATTAAAATCCCTCTCTACTGATGTCACCATTTGGGGAGCATTCTACAAGACATAATGTCTTCACACTGTACCCCCATTTAAAGGGGTCTTTCCATTTTACTCTTCCCAAATTTCTTTGTCACCAGTTCTCCAATCATGGTCTTTCCGAGTCCGTGACCACCCAGCCAAACCATGGGCTGCAGCCGTAAGTCGGTGGATAACCACACAGCCGGCTGCTTCTCCTAACCAGGTGCACAACCAGGTGCATTGCCTGAAATCCTGACCCCTGGGGAGTTTCCCTTGATCAGGTCTTCCAGGGACATCACGGGGGGGAGGGGGGCTGAGGTCCTGGAGTCATCCACTGTGGGCGCTGCCTGCATCGCCGGCAGAACCATCTGTAAACCAGGCTCGAGTCTGTCTTCTCCCGCCATTGATCCTGGAAGTTAAGTTCCACATGAGGCCTCAGGTGCATGCTGTGGGGAGGAGGCAGAGGGGCAGGAGTGGGGCCAGGGCTCTGGGCTGCTTCTCCTCGTGACTTCCCTGGGGCTTCAGGCCTGCACAGCCCCTCGCATGAGCTGAGCTTCCACGGGACCATGGAGTGCTGCTGTGCATCCCCAGCTTTGTGGCTGGTGGATCAGATGACACCTACTTCACGACAGGTGGCTCAGGTCTCACAGCAACTCGGTGACCCACAGCTACATTCATTTAAGCTAAGGCCCTGTAATAGGCCAAGAGCTGTTTCCCAGAAAGAGAATAGTTGTCTGCATGGAATGGTGGGCTCTTGCTCCCACATCCTAGAGGCCTGCCCTGTGATTACCTGTACCATTGACCAAAGCTCCAAACAGCATCTTTTCTGCCATCGACACTTCAGGTGTTGTTAGATCTGTTGGAACCATGGCCCACAGCAGAGCAGCATGCCTGCAGCCTGGACCTGCAAGGAACCTCCTCTTTTTCTGGCCCTGCTCAAACACAGCAGTTGTTCAGGCCACTTTGTAGATGAGCTGGAGTAACAGCCCAATGACAGAGGAGCCTGGTAGGCTGCAGTCCATGAGGTCGCTAAGAGTCGGACACGACTGAACAACTTCACTTTCACTTTTCACTTTCATGTGCTGGAGAAGGAAATGGCAATCCACTCCAGTGTTCTTGCCTGGAGAATCCCAGGGACGGGGCAGCCTGGTGGGCTGCCGTCTATGGGGTCGCACAGAATCGGACACGACTGAAGTGACTTAGCAGCAGCAACAGCCCAATGAGAAATACTATGCCTCCAAAATGCTAAGGGCCCATGGCATCATGCTTCTTTCTGGATTCCAGAAGGGGCCAGGTACAGCAACATACCCTTCACCTTAGAGGGTTACCTCAGCAAGTCCCACCCCACTGTACCCTAGACATTTCACCACGATGGAAGGCCCCTGAATTTTAGTCGGATTTATTTCTCACCCTCTGACACACAAACGTCTCACCAGTAAGTCTGGAGTAGTTGCTACTTCTTGCTCACTAGGTCTAATCAGCATAATAACATGAGTGTGATGGACCAATGTGATAGCTTGTGGAAGGTAAAGATGCTCAAAACCCCTGTGAACTAAGTTATGATGTAGGGCTGAAGGCGGATATGCCTGAGGCAGGTTGGGGAGGGTGTATTGCTGGCCTTGCCAGATGAAAGCAAACTGCTCCTGGTGGCCTTTATTGACAGGGATGGGAAAAAGGGCATTTTCCAGACTAATAACTGTATTCTAGGTCCCACGGGAGTTAGTCCTGGGCCTTCTGGAATTAGCTTTCTAATCTGATTTGATTTAAAGATATTAAAGACTATTTTCAGTAGTCAAGAGAGCACTGATAGTCCACAGCATGAACAGTTTTATAGAAACACAGACAGTACTGCAGTGGATGCTCCCAGTCAACCACTTAGAAAAGGCAAAGAGCTGGGTGACCCTGTATATGATCCTTTCAAACATTTGGAAAACTAAGGAATATAAAGATATTAGTTGGTTACTCCTAATATCACTGGACAAAGTGATGAAAGAAAAAGATGAGTTCAGGAATTCAAATTCCCAGCTCCAGCTGTGCGTGCTGATCGTAGAGCTTCTAGAATTTCTTTGAAGGATATAAGGGATGACATTGCTCAAAATCAAATGCATCCATGTGATTGCCTGAATTACAGCCCAAACTGAACTCTGCTCCTGGCATCACAGAGTACCTACTGTTAATGTGAGGGAATTGACTGTGAAAGAAATGAGTCCTACAGGGTGCAATGGGGATGTGTGGGAAGACCTGATGAAGCTATGGATATTAAGCCCCTAAATTATGATGAATCCTCTTTATTAACCCCAGCAGAAATGGCTCCTCCATGGAGTCTTCATCCATGGTGGTGGTTAGCCTTCCCATCTCATATAAGGTGTTGACCCTGCATTTTCTAGGGAAAACTTAGTGGCTTTCCAGAGGCAGTTGCTCCACAAGGTAAAGTTGACTCTCCTCAGGACCCACTGCTCTCCTTTTCTTCTAGACCCATAACTCAACTCAACTCCTTAAAAGTGAGGAGCAAAGTGTGAACCAAGAGGAAGTGTGACCCAAGAGGAAGCGCGACTCCAAAAGAAGGACTTGAGTGTTCTGATTCATACAAGCAGAAATCCCAGAACTGGTGTGAGAATGGATCCTAAGGGACTGAGATGATGATGGAAGGAGGATCAAATTGGATCAGATCAAATTTATGGATCTGGGTCCAGGAGGCAGAGATTCTGCATTGAATGTTACAGCCCCAGGAGTGAGGGAAGGCTGTGTGTCTGGCTGGTTGGCTGAAACGTGGACCAAAAGGTGGTCCACTGTCTGCAACTCAGAAATGTCTGAGTTTCTCCTGGTTTCAAGTAGAGGAAATGACTCAGAGGCTTCATGGGAGTGGAATGTGAGAGTGGATTTGCCACTAAGACCTACACATTCATCCTGGGAGGGTCCAAAAGACATACTTTCCCTACTACAGTGAGAAATAAACTTGGGAGGGGAGCCTGGCATCCTTGAGGGGCTCCATGATAGTTCTCTCTAGCCCAGACCTTACAGTAGGAACGACAGCCACTTCACTGGAAACCATGAATGCAACGGGGTATATGGGTGCTGGGGTGTCAGAGGCCTAGTGATAGCACTCAGTTGCCAAAGGCAAGGGGGGGGGCATGGTTGCCATAACAAGCAGCAGAGTCAAAAGAGCTGTCAGAACGGTCTGACTCTCATAGACTGACAGCACCAGCCTGTTAATTGTGATGCCCCTGGAGAGAAACACAGAAAATCTACTAAATTATTACTTGCCCTGTATAAGCAGGAAAGTTCTAGGTCAATTGAACAGAAGTGTAACTCAGATCATAAAAAGAGTCATGGCCCCTCACTTAGTTCCCAGATTTGAGCTAGTTTACAGACCCAGAACTCCTTGGATAAAGGGGAAGCCAAGTCCAGTTAAAGAAGGAACCTGGCACACACACTGTTAGTCTTTTTCCCAGCCTTTCCTGAAAAGGACCTATGCAGCCTTTAACCATGGGTAACTGTGCTTTGGAGAAGAGTAAATAATCAGACATTTTGAGGGCTGCTGGACAATAGCTCTGAACTGACATTGGTTTCAATATTTTGGCCACCGGATGTGAAGAACTGACTCTTTGGAAAAGACCCTGACGCTGGGAAAGATTGAAGGTAGGAGGAGAAGGGGATGACAGAGGATGAGAAGGTTGGATGGCATCATGACTCAACGGAGTCATGAGTTTGAGCAAGCTCTGGAAGTTGGTGATGCATAGGGAAGCCTGGTGTGCTGCAGTCCATGGGGTCACAAAGAGTTGGACAAAACTGAGCAACTGAACTGACTGACACTGATTTTAGGAGAAGAAAACATCACTGTGGCCCCCTAATCAGAGGATGGGCTTATGGAGGTCAGGTGATCAATAGTTTTTAGCTCAGGTCTGTCTCATGGGGTGTCAATGGGTCCTTGTGGTTATTCCCCCAGTTCCAGAAAACATAATTGGAATAGACATACTTAGCAGCTGGCAGCATTCCCACACTGGTTTTCTAACCTGTAGAGTCAGGGCTACAGGTTAGAAAGCCAACTAAAAGCCATCAAGAGTGCCTCTACACAGGAAGATGGTAAATCTAAAGCAAGGCCATATCCCTGGGGAAATGCAGAGATTAGAGCCAGTCTCAAGGACTTGAAAGATGCAGGGGTGACAATTCCCCCACATCCTCCTGCAGCTCTCCCAGCCAGCCTCTGAAGAAGACAGCTGGCCACTGGAGCATGACAGTGGACCTTCCAAGGAGGTGACCTCACCTGCAGCTGCTGTTCCAGGTGTTGCTTCATTGCTTGAGCAAATGAGCACATCCCCTGGGACATGGTGTGCAGCTATTAACTGGGGAAAAAAAAAGCCTTTTTTTCCCCATCCCTGTCAATAAATACATGAAGGTGGCAAAAGAAAAATCCATGACTCCAATAAGTAAGTCAGTAAATAAATAAATAAGGAGTTCCCTGGTTGCCTAACGACTAGGATTCTGGGCTTTTGCTGCTATGACCTGCGTTCAATGGAACTCAGTCATGGAATTGAGTGTGGTGTGGTGAATGTGAAGCAGTGTGGTGTGGCTAAAAAAAAAAAAAAGGAAAAATCTATGACAAAATTTATTGAGATAAAATTTATATCTTCCAATTAAACCAATTTTAAGTGTTAACTTTGCTGAGTTTTGACCAATATATATACCTTGGTAGACAGCACTGCAGTCAAGCTTTAGAACACTTCCATTGCCTATTCTGTGTTTGATTCATCCCCCCACCCTCCGACAAACATGACTGAAATTTCTGTCCCTGATTACATTTACCTTTCTCTTGAGTTTCACAGGGATTATATCGTACTCCTTCTTCACTCAACATAACCCTGCTGAGATTCACCCATGTTGTATCCACCTGTCAGTTTCTTTCTGTTGCTGCACGCATGCACTATTCCTGGTGTGGATGTGCCATGATTAAATTATCCAGTCTCCTGCTGGTGGACATTTTGGTTCAGGCTTTTAGCTATATATAAATAAAACTACTATAAACAAAATATATAAAAATATAAATCACATATAAATTTTTGTGTCACTATATATTTTCATTGTTCTTTGGTACACATCAGTTCAGTTCAGTTCATTCGCTCAGTCGTGACCCCATGAATTGCAGCATGCCAGGCCTCTCTGTCCATCACAAACTCCCGGAGTTGACTCAAACTCATGCCCATCGAGTCGGTGATGCCATCCAGCCATCTCATCCTCTGTCATCCCCTTCTCCTCCTGCCCCCAATCTCTCCACATATAGGAGTGCAATTAATGGGTCATAGGTAAGCATATGTTTCACTTGATAAAAAACTTTAATTTTTCCGAAATAGTTGCATCATTTTGTATTCCTACTAGTTATTTCACATCTTTGCCAATATGTAACATTGGCAGTCTTTCAAATTTTAGTAACTCTAGGATCTGAGTTTACAGTGATATCTTATTGAGACTTAATTTGCATTTCCTAAAAAAATCACTATGAACAAAGCTAGTGGAGGTGGTGGAATTCCAGCTGAGCTATTTCAAATCCTAAAAAGATTATGCTGTGAAAGTGCTGCACTCAGGTGTGATCCCTGGTCAGGGAATTAAGATCCCATATGCCCTGTGGCCAAAAAACCAAAACATAAGACAGAAGCAATACTGTAACAAATTCAATAAAGACTTTTAAAATGGTCCACATCCAAAAAAAAAAAAAAAGAAAGTGCTGCACTCAATATGCCAGCAAATTTGGAAAACTCAGCAGTGGCCATAGGACTGGTAAAGGTCAGTTTTCATTCTAATCCCAGAGAAAGGCAAGGCCAAAGAATGTTAAAAGTATCACACAACTGTACTCATCTCACATGCTAGCAAAATC